AATGTTAGAAAAAGAATGTCCGTAAGTAATTATTATATATATATATATATATATATATATATATATATATATATATATATATATATATATATATATATATATATATATATATATATATATAATAAATATTTTTGTAGCTGAAAATAAATAAGTATCAAGTTATGTAGAAAAAATTAAAATTATTAATTTATTTTTTTTGGTTAAAAAATCTTAGCAAAAAAAATTGAGACAAAAATCTTATTTGTTTCTTAAAAATAGGTCATTGTTAGAAAAAACAATATCATTACCCTTTATTGTAAAGGGGCAGGTATTACTTAGTTTTATATCTAATAAATATCTTCTCAAAAGCTATTCTACTATAATTTTTTTAATGATTTTCAATGTTTCAGTTGTTCAGAAAAAGTATCTAATTTTAAATACATTAATGCGCATAAAATGTATGGTTTTTCTGTTTTCATTTATGGGCATAAAATGTATGGTTTTTCTCTTTTCATTTATACGCCAAAAATGTATGGTTTTTCTCTTTTCATTTATGCGCAAAAAATGTATGGTTTTTCTGTTTTCATTAATGCACATAAAATGTGTGGTTTTTCTATTTTAAGATGTTTTTTTAATTAAAAGACTTCTTATTAATGATATATAATATATAAAGACAATGCATAGATGATATAGAAATACATATGGTTGTGAAGCATACAAAAATTTTTTACAGATACGGTATTGTATGAACTGCTATCACCTGAGTCTAAGCCAATAAAAGGTCCTACTCTAGAACAATTAGATGTAAGTACTGTTGCAAAGATAAAATTTTACTGGTAAAATTACTGTTATATTTTGAAATTTTATTTTATGGATAATCATTAAATTCAAAATTATATTAATGTTTCAAAATTTAACTGTTTTAAAATTAAAATTTATTGATAAATTTATATCACTTAATGTAATTTAATTTTTAATTTGCCAATTATAAATATAATTTAATTTAAATAATATTCTCAATAGTTTATAAATTATAAAATTATATTTATATTTAAATATAAAAAAATATTTGTATTTAAACAAAATGTAAAAAGTTGTATTATACTTAAATATCTACCCAACAAGTTATAAAATATAGCGGAACTTCAGTGTATATATGCATTTTGAGCTATGTTTGCATATATATATATGCACCTATATATGCATTTTGAGCTATGTTTGCTGGGCATTTATCTAAGAAATAAAATCTTTATTGTTTTTTTAAACTTATGAAGTTTTATTTAAAATGTTACAAAGTTCTATATGTAATGTTAGGAAATTGTATGAAATTCTAAATGATCTGCATATTTCTTTGTTAGATGATAAATAATATGAATTTTTTTAATATGAAAACTTTGTTCTTAGACTTTATTAAATCTTAAGAAAGGTTAAGTCAAAAAGCAGTATTTTTGCAGCAGTAATTTTGTTTTTATTCATAACTTGGAAATCTGATTGTTAGGTTCCCATTTTTATTTTTGTGAAAAGCAACAAACTTTAAAGTTTAAATATATTATTAAATAAATTAGTATTAAAAATTAAGATATTAAGGAATAAATAATTATTAAGAATATAATTAGATATTCTTAATGAAAATGTTTTTTAATAAAATATTTTGTTAGAAACACTGGAAGAAATGAAATAAAAGTTTAATTTAGGATTACATTTAGATTTTTTTTTTTTTAGATTTTTGCCTTTATTTTATTTTCAACTTTGTTGTTATTTTTTTCTTGTTTTAGTTTGATTTCGATAAAAAAAGCATTCTTTTATTATGATTTATTTTGTTTTCTAATATTTTTTGTTGCTTCTGCAAGATTTTTGCTTCTGAAGGATTGCGCACATTAGTGCTAGCCTCTAGAATTCTCACAGAAGAAGAGCTAACAGAATGGCAAGCGTTATACAAGAAAGCAAGGTATGTTTTTGGATATTTTGTAGATAGTAATATATGAAAATGACTTAAATCTGAGGGGGTTATTCCTAGGGGAATCTGAGAGGGTTATTCATTTTTTTTTTCCACATATATATATATATATATATATATATATATATATATATATATATATATATATATATATATATATATATATATATATATATATATACATGTATATATAAGAACACTTGTTGAATTTTTTTTATATAATAATTTAATTCTATTCTACTCTCTGCTATCTGTTTAAAATAAACAATACCTGTAGTTAAAAATAAATATATAACAATAGCGTAATTTAAAGTCTCCAATAAACAGTTCAATTTCCTCCCAGGCCGTAGTATTATGAATGCTATTATTCAAGTTATTGAAAACTGAAGTCATGCTAAAGATAGTAACAAATTTTTAGAATATTCTTTAATTTTGCTAAAGCATTTGATCTTGTTGATCATGACAAGTTACAACTAAACTTAATAAATGTTCTTCCTGGCTCACTTACATCCTGGATTGCAGCTTCTCTATTTAATTATTTAAAAACAAGTGATTACACTACTAGTTACAAATGTATTAAAGCATCAATCAAACAATCTCAATAGTGCTGAGCTCAAAATTGTCTATAGCTACAAATACCTTGGCATCCTGCTCAATAAGAATCTTGATTGGAATGAACAATAAACAAAAGTGCACAACACTATATAAAATCAGTTTTAGTTTTATTTAAACATTTTAAGCATATTAAATACAGCCCAAATTTCTACAAGTTTACAGGTCTTTTGCTATTAGCCACATGATATATAGTGATTAGGGCTGTTAAAGGCTTGTGAAAATGCCTGACCGGGTACCTGTCAAAAAATTTGTTAGGAAATAAATTTTTATAATAGTTATTCTTTTTTATATCTAAATTTTGTTTTATGTTAAGTTTTCAGGTTATACAAATCTCAATTATGTTTTAAAAACACATTTAAAAACAATGTCCACTGTTTTGGGTGCCAAAAATGCATGCTGTCAATTTACCACATGCCCAGCAGTCGAAAAAACGCATTCTGATGGCACTGAAGTTGCTGATATGCACATGTACTTGTGCACTAAAATAGCAAGTTTTGGGTAACATTTGGTCCTATCTTGCCGAATATCAAATGTTTCCGTTGACAGTCAATGGCAATTCCAAAAGTTAAGATGCAAGTTTATCCACATGTCTAAATTCTTTGTCGACTGTGCACAGCAATGCCAATTCATTAAACACCTTCTTTAAAACAGCACCGACCATTCATCAAGAAAGTCCATGGCTAGATTTATGCTTGAGCTGTTATCATGGACAGTAGCAGCGATGTTCTAAAACAGGAATCATTCAGGCCTCTGCAGAATCCTGCAGATAAGTACTGATATTTTTCCCAAGTGTGCTGTTTAGAACGTTCTCATTTCTGCAAAGTTCAGCTCTCAGTTTGTGTTTACCCAATCGGCAGATACAGCCTTAGTAGTGATCCACTTCTTAGTTCAGTGCAGAGGCAATTCAATATTTGAATAAAAATATCTTACGCATCAGAATTGATGCAACCAATTCTAGCCATTTCAATATTTGCTTTGAGGTTGAAGAATTATGAGACAGGATCTGTATTCATAAACTAGAAAAACAAAATTTCTGACACACATATATATATATATATATATATATATATATATATATATATATATATATATATATATATATATATATATATATATATATATATATATATATATATATATATATATATATATATATATATATATATATATATATATATATATATATGTATATATATATATATATATTATATATATATATATATGTATATATATATTTATATATATATATATATATATATATATATATATATATATATATATATATATATAATTTTATATGCATGTTTAAAATGATATATATATATATATATATATATATATATATATAAAATTTTATATGCATGTTTAAAATGATATATATATATATATATATATATATATATATATATATATATATATATATATATATATATATATATATATCATTTTAAAATGCATATATATATACATATACATGTTTAAAATGATCTATTATGTTTTAGCACAGCAATGGAAGCAAGGGAAGAAAAATTAATGCAGGTATGATCATAAATCAATGCAAAATATATGCATATATATATGTATATATATATATATATATATATATATATATATATATATATATATATATATATATATATATATATATATATATATATATATATATGTATATATATATATATATGATTATACATTATTTCTTTATTTATGTTTCTTGCATAATATTATTATTATAATATATATTATTAAAAATGTATTCAAGGCTTTTGAAATGATTGAGAAAAATTTAACTTTAATTGGAGCTACAGCTATTGAAGACAAACTACAGGATCATGTACCAGAAACAATAGCTAATCTTGCAGAGGTTTTAATTTGTTTTATCATTTAACAAATATCAAGTATTTCTATTTCTAAAAAAATTGTAATTTAAAGTTAATGTGACAAGTTTTTATTTTATTTTTTAGTTGTCACTTTTTTAAATTTTTTTATTTATTCTATCTAATGTAAATATTTTTAGGCAAACATTAAGATTTGGGTACTTACTGGTGATAAACAAGGTATATATTGAATTGATTATTTCTACTATAAAAGAAGATATTTTATTATTTTTAAAATTTTAAAATTATTAGTATTTTATTAATCACTTTTTGTTTGTAATGTTAAGCAAGGTATCAAAACTGTAAAACAATTTTTTTTTATATTTTATAATAAAATATGCAGTGATGATTTCCCCAGTGATGCAAAACAAAATATTTGATAAACTTTAATTCAAACTCCATATTTGATGAATAATACTTGTACAGATTCTTCTTCATCCCAGGTCACTTTTTTTGTATTAAAAAATTTATTTTATCAGCTGTTTTTTTATTGTATAGTAAAAATAACTTTTTACTACGTCTCTTTATACAATAAAAAAACAGCTGATAAAATAAGTTTACGAGTTTGTAAAAAAGGTCAAAAATTTTTATGTTTTAATCTGTAAATAAATATTATATGTACAACAAAGCACCCATCTACGACACTCATCTGATACACTCGTCTACAAAGTATATTTGGATGTTTAGCTGGGTATAAATAAAACATTTGTTTCTATTTACCACTTTGCACCATTGATATAGATTTATATTTAGATATTATATTTGTTTACATTATTTATTTTTACTATTTATATTAAGTTTAGTTTTTTTTTAAATATAGAAATTAAAATAAAAAAATATATAAATAAAAAATATTTTTACAAAAAACAGAAACTGCTATTAATATTGGCTACTCAAGCATGCTTCTTACTGACAATCTAATCGACGTGTTCATTATTAACACTGAAGAAAATGAAATTGACATACAGATGAAGGGTTTTCTTGAAAAAGTCAATCAATTTTCAACTTTAAATCATAACGATATAAAATCACCTAAAGTTGGAATTATTGCTGATCATGATGATCACTATGTGCAAGTTTGTTTTTTATTAGTTTTTTTTTGTAGTTTTTATAAGTTTTTATTTTTATATAGTTTGTAAGTGCACAATTAACACAAGAATATATTTACCAGATTTAAAACTAGTAGTTTATAAATGAAATGATGAAAGTTAAGATTGAGTGGCTCATTTAACTTTAGTTTCCCCAAATTAGTTTGCCACAACAGTTGAGGAGGCTTTACTTTTTGCTCTCGCTTAATCCAATAAAATACAAATCTTAACAAACAAGACCATTTTTAGCAGAAGCAAGTTAGGCACTGTAATTCTAAAGATGTGGTTGTGTTTAAACTCTGTACCTTTTGCTAGTAAAGTGACCACTTTACCTCTATCAATTTTAAAATTAATGAAAATGATATTAATTTTTTTTTAAATATTCAAAAATAGAATTTTAATAGCTATTTAATGTAAAACATGCACACACCTCTATCAGCGTACACAAGCTCTCTACCAGTGTATTACCCCCAAATCTTTTCATATGACCACTCCACATTGTAGCTCAGTTTAAGAACCATTTGAGAACACTCAATGGTATTAGTATTCATGGTATTTCCTGCCTTTAATCCCAAAAAATTCCCAAAAAAAGTATGCATATATAATCTCTAGAACATATATGTTGACTCGAAATGTATAAAAAATTTAAAATATATAATAGAGAGTATTTTTTATTTTATTTTATTGGTATAGTTGTTGAAAATGAAATTTGTTTATTAAAAAAATTCTAATTAAAAATATATATATATATATTTAAAAACATTCTTATTTCTATTTGTGTAAAAAAAAAAGAAAGAATAAAGGAACACACCTATTATTAATTCCAAATAATGAAATAACTAATAATAAGTTAACTTTTATGTTTATGCTAATTTATAGTTTTATAAAATCATGCTATATTGTATTATACATTTTTTGTTCTTTTTTTGTTTGTTTCAAAGGAAATGACTGAAGAAAATTGTGAAAAAGAAGGTTTTGGACTTGTGATTTCAGGAAAATATTTGGTAAATTATATAGTATTTATTTAGAGTATGGTGCATATAAAAGTATATTTATAAAATGCATACATACATTTAACATAGTTATATATAACTTTATTATTATAGTTTGTTTTTTTTGTAAAGAAAAATGTAAATGTTGTTTAAGGCTTTTCATCTGTAGTTAGTAAATTTTTCTTTTTTTTCAACTTTTAATTTAGTTTATTTTTAAACTCTTTTTCTTTATTTATTTCATCTGAATATAATTTTTTTATTTCTTCATTATTTTTGATGAGTTGAGGATTTTTGATTGTTATTTACATTCAGTATTGTTATTTTCCATTTATTTTGACTTTTTGTTTTACTCACTTTTTGTCATCTACTTTTTATTATCTAATTTTTTTTATCTACTTTTTGTTATCTACTTTGGAAGACTATTATTGCTGTTTTTATTTGTTTTTTTATTATTTGTTGTTTTTTGATGTTGACTCTCTTTTCATTAGTTTGTAGCTGTTTGCCACCTGATCTAGTTCTGTAAATTTATTTATTATTACTATATTTTTATTATTATTGCAGATTTATATTTGTTGTATAAATTTCATTATAGTTAAATTTAGTATGATTATAATTCAATTTCAAAAAAAATAATTAATTAAATCATTAGGCTCATGCACTTTTACCAAAACATGAAATGACTTTTTTGGAGCTTGCAAAGTTATGTAAAGCTGTAATATGTTGTCGCGTGACACCTCTTCAAAAAGTAAGTAGTTTTTTTATTATTTAACATTTTTTGGTACAACTGCTTTAATTTTTGATAAGACAATTTGGCTATTTTTGAAACAAACTTTAGATGCTTATTTCAAATATAAAGTCTGCAGAATCATATGCAGATCATAAACAAATAATAAGCAAAAAATATATAATAATAATAAATAATATGTAAATATGCAGGTCTTAATCTATTAGCAGTAAAATAAAAAGTAGAAGATTAAGTTTACTAAAAACTACAAAATAAATTACAGCACAGTATCAGGCCTTGCGATTAAGCATCGGGCGATGTGAATTTTACATCGTCCAAGAGTCATATTGCGTGAGGCTAGGGCTATTTGCGTTGAGCAAAAAAATTTTTGTTTCAGTATATTTAAAGATAATTTTGAGCGGAATTTTAATGAAGTAATTTACAATTATTTTAAGATTTAATAAAGTATTTTAAAAACCGCATGCAGTTGATATAAAAATTTGAATTACAAAAAAATTAAATATGCTCATTATTTACAAGTAGAAAAAATTTAGATTAAAAAAAAATGTATAAATCTTTTTAAGCTAACATTTTAATAAAATTATTCAGCAATAGCAAAGTTGTCGATAAAATTGAACAAAAATACTTTCTTTTAGTTTTAGATTTTTAACTTAAATAATTATTTTACGGGGGTTTTTTAGGTTTTAAAATTATTCCATAGATTTTAGACGTATTTAAACTTTTAGACGTATTTAAAGTATTTTAGAGTAATTTTGAGGAAACATTTTAAAAGTTGGTAAGCGCAAATAAAAAAAAAATAAAAGGATTAATATTAAAACATATTCTACTTGATTCAATAAAAAATTACAGTTATTAAATTTTTTGTAAAAAGTAACTCAAAAAAAAATTACTTAAATAATAACAATCGCTTTTTTGTTAAAAGTTACCGAAACTCAACGAAGCGTGCTCAAGAACAGCTGCTGAAAAATAGAATGTCAATAGTTTGATAAGTTTATATGACCTGCTTTTGTTACCCGGTTTTTACCGAAAAAAATCAAATACTAGCATATTTTATAATCTTTTTTAAATGTTTAGTTATAATGTTTTTTATTCATTTAGTATAAACAAAAGGTGTCAAACGTCGAGAAAATTAACAAAAGTTTTTACATTTTAAAAAACTAAACATTCCATAGAAATGTTATTATTTAAAACATTTTTAAATAATAACATTTCTACATTAATGATTTAAAGTAGTTTTGCGATAATTAACTAAATTAGTGCAGTTAATGTCTATAAATATGAAAAGCAAATAAAAAGAATTTAATGGCGTCAAAAATCACGTAGTGCTTATGCGTCGCACAGTTTTTATTCATCACAAGGCCTGCAGTATAATACATATATTAGATTATTTTTATTTTATTTTATTATTATTATTATTTTCTCTAAGTTTGTAATTTATTATGATTATTTATACAGGATAAACAAACATATATATATATATATATATATATATATATATATATATATATATATATATATATATATATATATATATATATATATATACAATCAGTCCAAATCAGAAAAATCTATTCAACAATATTTTAGAGAAAGATTAAGTTTTAGAGAACCTTTAAGAATACTAAACTGTTTTTAAAAATGTATTTGACTTGAGTTGATTTAAAAGATTGAAATGATTAAGATTCTATTCTTACTCCTAGGTTTGTACTAGATATATTTGTCCTAGATATATTCCTTTCTTTTTGAAATCAATTTCAAAAATTAATTTTCTGACTTCAAGCACTTATAGTTAAATAAATTAGGTGTAAAAAATATGAAGAGATAATATACACTTTGGAATTACACTACAACTATAACCAGTTAGAAGTAAACACTTGGTTCAATATTGATTTTAAGCCACAAACCACACAAATAATGAAAAAAATTTCATAGCAATTCCGTTTCTACTTTTATGCTTGCTTCATGCTTATATATGTGTTGCTAAAATTTGCATCTATAATTTTAAAAGTCTAAGAATTTCATTTCTGTTCTTTGTTATATGACTTGTATGAAAGTTTTTATAGTATACACACATATTTATATATGTATATTTTTATATATACATATATATATAAATATATATATATATATATATATATATATATATATATATATATATTTATATTTATATAGTATACACACACTTATATATTTATATATATATATATATATATATATATATATATATATATATATATATATATATATATATATATATATATATATATATATATATATATATATATATATATATATATATATATATTTATATATATATATATATATATATATGAGTGTGTGTATACTATAAAAACTTGCATGTTTATATACTTTGATTGTAAAAAGAGCCAAGCCATATAAATAAGAATCTTGTTTCCTTTCATTGCTATATGGCTTGGCTCTTTTTATAATCAAAATATATAGATATGCAAGTTTTTTAGGCGCTTGTTGTGGAACTAGTTAAAAAAAATGTGAAAGCAACAACATTAGCTATTGGAGATGGTGCAAATGATGTTAGCATGATTAAAGGTAAAATGTTTATAAATAGAAAGAGTTTAGAAATTTTTATTTTTCTGAATAATTTTCAATTTTTTTATCTAGCTGCACATATTGGTGTTGGTATCAGTGGTAAAGAAGGTCGTCAAGCTGTGTTAGCTGCAGACTATTCTTTTGCTCAGTTTAGGTATAAAAAATGTATTTTTTTGTTT